AATGCAAAATAATTGAGGAAATTTTATATCAGCTTAGCCACAGTAAAGGCATATACCCTCAGCTGTTACTGTTACTCTTTCATGGCAGTTGGATTTACTGTAACTTGTCAGAAGGCAGTCTTTAATTAAAAAAAATTCCTTCAGATAGGATATTATTTCACATCTATAAACAGAATGGCAGAGTTTTGTTTTTTTTTTTAAAGCTACATGGCAGGATTACGTTTCCAAAAATTTTCTAAGAAAAACCTGTGTTGAGTATAATTCTATTAAAATACGACATTAGTACGATCTATCATGTGTCTTTTAAATGCTGAATCTCTTCACTCTGTAAATATATCTTAACAGGTAGGAGTTCTTCACTTAGATATAAAATATATACTATAAGTACAACTAGTAACTCAGCGTATGTGTTCATTGAGTATATCCACATGTACCTGGTTTTTGTAGCATTCTAGTTAACTAATAATGTCATTTGACAAGGCTTTTTGACACGACCTAGCCTGGTCTGTTTTGAGTGTGACAGTGAAAAACCACTAACTGCGTTAAATGAGGTGTTTTCTGAAATGGAAAGGATTACAGAGTTAGATTCTAGAATTTACAAGAGTGGCAGAGTTAGAACCAACTCCAATTGTGCCAGTGCTTGAAAGAACAAAGAGGCTACTCTTTCATGGCTTAATTTTTTTTCTCCAGAGGAATAATTTCCTTTTCTGTGAACAGCGACTGCTAAGTTATCTGTGTAAAATGATTGAATAGAAACAAATCCAACTTTCATTCCTCAGGCTGTTGGGTCACATTCTACACCAAATGATATTTTGAACATTTTAATTAGTTTTTTATCCCAGCATTCTTTGAGAGGTCAAAATGCTTCTTCTGTAAAGTTTCTATCAAAAGTTTAATATCAACTAGGGAAACTAGAGAGCTTGAGGTAGTAAAAGTGGGATAATAAGAAATAGAGGGACTTCCCTGGTGGCGCAGCGGTTAAGAATCTGCCTGCCGATGCAGGGGATACGGGTTCGAGCCCTGGTCTGGGAAGATCCCACATGCCGCGGAGCAGCTAAGCCCATGCGCACAACTACTGAAGCCCATGCTCCACAACAAGAGAAGCCACCGCAATGAGAAGCCACCGCAATGAGAAACCCACGCACCACAGCAAATAGTAGACCCCACTCGCTGCAACTAGAGAAAGCCCATGCGCAGCAGCAAAGACCCAACACAGCCAAAAATAAATAAGTAAATTTATTTTTTTAAAAAAAGAGAGCGAGATGAATCAGGGTGGCAAGGAATAAAAAAAAGAAACATATAATCCATTTTTTACACACATTATATAAATGGGTCATCTTAAACATAATACAGTGCTAAAAGTGAGAAACAAACTTTCCTCTGAAGCATAAAAAGTCATCTCAGCTGGTAAGAGGCACGAGTTTCTGTTTGGGTCCTGGGCCTCATCCTTGCCACTTTCCTGCCTGTTAGAGTTGACACTTTTTAGTCCCAGCATGGTGAGGGATGCTTTCTGAAAAGAGCCAAGATGACAGGTAGGGAGCTTTGAAATTCCAAATTCATGCACTTACAAGCGACAGATGTAGTATTTTTATAGTAGACAATAACAAAGGTATACATAGTTTTAACTTGAGTAGATATATCTGCTGTATTCATGAATATCCACAAAAATAATTCACATTTTTCCCCCTGGGATTCTACAACCTCTGTAGGTAAAGCTTAAATGTATACTCCATTTAAGATTGCTGAGCTAAAGGGACCAGTCCTAGTTTCTCTGGAGAATTCTGGGCCTTAGGCAAGTCAGAACTTGCTCCTTTGAGGTGTTGAGTGGTATCACGTTGGGAAGGAATCAAGAATGTGGGCTTAAGAAGGGAAGCTTTTCATTCAGAGCCTGAGAATTCCTGGGAGCCCCTGTGGTGGGGAAGAGAGAGTGCGGGAGCTCAGAGGCCTGGGCTTCCCGTCCTGACTGCCCCTCATCAGTGGGGTGAACTTCAGCTGGTCTCTTAACCTCTCCAAGCTTCTGTTTCACCGTGTGTCATGTGGGGATAAAAATGAAGCTGATTCATAGGCTTGTCGTTAGGAGCCAGCGCAGTGAGACGTTTGTGGAGCGCCGTCCTTCGTGTATTGTTGAAAGTGTTTATCGTGGCTCTTAAACATGTGAGGTGTGTGCTTACTGAAGTGTGAAGGCTTTTATTTCAGATTTTTATTTTGCATATGATAATTTAATGCGAGGCATTGTCTCCTTGCCCAAGTTCATGGCTCTTTATCTCTTAAAGCTGTGTGTCATTACCCAGAGAGGACCTTTTTCAGTGAGGAAGATGGCAGTGAACTAGTCCTTAGGTTGGCAGGGCCTTGCAGTAAGGAGGGTTTAAACTGGTCCACTGGCTCTCACCAGAACCGTGGCCACTGGTAGCCAAGGTTTCAAAATATACGGTGGACATCATCTACAGCTGTCTTGGACATGGATGTAGATTATACTGCAATCATCTTATTTCATAACTGTGTTTTTAAAGATGTCTCAAACCCACCAGAGTTCACTCAGAGTTATAGCCCTTTGGGAATCATTCACCAACTCTAGTGGATCTCATCCCAGTTTTCCTCTCTATCCCAGACCATCTTTCCTTTTCTAAGCTCTGGCAATCCCAGCACCGATACATGGGGTTTTCCTCATTTAAGAGAAAGTTGTGCATCCATGACGGCCATTGTCCTTGTCCTACCCTCCCTTGGACACTGACTGCAGTGGAAGCTTCGGGTCCTGGTTACACTTGTGGAGGGCCGGGGGCGGGGCACGGAAGCTCATTGTTAACGTTAAGTATTTTGAGACAGGGGGGTCTCAGGTACATCCAGGCACTTAGATGAAAGTCCCAAGTCCCCATCTATCACTTAAGCTCTATTGAGATGAAGCCTCATTTCCCCAGTATTATGGGATGGACTTCGCTTTGACGAATGAATTTATTCTGTGAACTCACCTCATCCAGTTTGTCTCAAGCCACTCATTTAATCTTTGGAGCTAGGGAAACCCAGAAGACATGTCACTCATTGCCACTTTTTTTCACTTGTCACACCAGATTTTCCTCTATGGAACAGCAAAGGTATCGTTTTTGGAGAACTGCAGTATGCTTTACACGTTGCTTCAGAAACAGAACTACTGAAATGAATCCAGGTTAATGAAAAAGTTTATCTGTTCAGTATAATGTAATGTTATAAATGTAGCAAAAATATCCTCTGAAATAGCATGAGATGGTTTTCTGCTAAAAATGAAAAGCACTCCATGTCGCTCTCTGACTGCTTTTTTTTTCTTTTTTAGTTAAAAAATTTGAATAGGTATTCCATTCACATAGGTTTAAAAATGAACGATAGTGTTTGGTTCAGTAGCACAGATACTAAAATTGGAACAATACGAGAAGATTAGCATGGCTCCTGTGCAAGGATGACATGTAAATTTGTGAAGTGCTCCATATTTTTATATTGTGTGATATTGCTTATATGTGGAATCTAAAAAAAGGGTACAAATGAACTTATTTACAAAACAGAAATAGAGTCACAGATGTAGAAAACAAAGTTATGGTTAACAAGGGGGAAGCAGGGGAAGGGATAAATTGGGAGATTGGGATTGACATATACACAATACCATATATAAAATAGATAACTAATAAGGACCTACTGTATAGCACAGGGAACTCTACTCAATACTCTCTAACGACCTATATGGGAAAAGAATCTAAAAAAGAGTGGATATATGTATATGTATAACTGATTCACTGTGCTGTACAGCAGAAACTAACACAGCATTGTAAATCAGCTATACTCTAATGAACATTTTAAAAATAAGAACCAATATGCGGTGACAAGTCTCCCTCTCACCATCATCTTTCATCTTTCCAGCTCCTGCAGTGCCCCCCTCCACGTATTAGTGTTTTCTGTAGCTCTCCAGAGTTCATGGATAAGTGTACAAGCAAATAAAATATGTTTTTATGTCTTTCCTTTGTTGTGTGTGTTTAACATAGAAGGCAGCATATACATATGGCAGGCCTTTTGTTGTTAAACAATATATCTGGGTTAGCCCCTGGAGAACCTCATCTGTTACATAGCTGTAGACTTTTCCTTCGTGTGGATATGCCATAGCCGTATGCCACGTTGATGGACATTTGGGTGTTTGTTATTTTGGAGTATTAGAAACAGTGCCACAGTAAATAGTACCTTGGGCCTGTGTCGTGTAGCCTACGTGTTTAATTTCCAGAATCGGGTTTGCTTGGGTCAAGGGTATGTTACGTTTTCAGTTTTGAAAGGTATTGCCAGGTTCTCCTTCATCGGGACTGTAGCCGTTAACTCTCTCACCAGCAGTGTATGAAAGCGCCTTTCCTCCACAGCCTTGCTGGCAGTGTTACCAAACGTTTGGATTTTTGCCAGTCTGATAAATGAAAAATATATCTCAGCACGACTTTAATTTGTATTTCTCTTATTTGACTGAAGTTGTTGAACATCTTTTCATATATTTAAGAGCCATTTGTATTTCTTTGTATGAGAATTGTCTGCTTGTGTCTTTTGCCCATTTTCCTGATGGATTATTATTTGCATTTTTAAGAACTCTGTTAGGGGAACTAGGCCCTGTTTTGTGATATGAATTGCAAATGTTTTTCTCAATTTTGCATTAGCCTTTTGACTTTTCTTGTAATTTTTTTTTTCTTTTTGCCCAACAAAACTTGTTGATTTTTATTAGTTGAATTTATCAATCTTTGCCTTTCTTTTGTGGCTTCTGGATTTTGAGTTCTAGTTAGAAAGCCCTTCCTCATTCTAGGCTCATGAGGGAAATCTCCTGCGTGTCCTGTAATACTTGGTTCCTTTTTTCCATTCATATCATTGATCTGTCTGGGGATTCATCCTGTGTGCCATATGAAGTATGGATCCAACTTTATTTTGTTACCTCTTTAAGCTGTGGACCCTGTTATCCCCAGACCAATTAATGAATAGTCCTAACATTTCTTCTTAAAATGGTCTTCAAGGTCCAGAAAGTTGGCAGCTCTTGCGGAAGCCTTAAAGAAAGCATCCCCGACCAAGGCCCAGCTGGGGTTGGAACTGCAGGAACTGGAAGCAGCGGCGCTTTTGGTTCAGGAGGAAGAAGCTGCATCGAAAGCAGGAGCCCGACGCCTTTTCGGGCAGCAGGCGCCTTCCTCCAGCTCTGAGTCAAGCGACTCGGAGGAATCAGAGAGCAGCACATCGTCTGAGACCGAGGACTCAGACTCGGAACACGAGGAGCCCAGAGGTGGTGAATGTGAGGCAGGGCCTTCCTCGCTCGGTCCCTTTGTTGAGGAAAGCAGCACGGCCCTGCTTCCTGACCATGGTGGGATGTGCAGAAGCGTGGTCCTCCCAGGGTCTGATGATGGTCAGGGACAGCCGCTCGCCTCTCCCCGGGCTCCTGGGACATCTGAGCCTCTAATCCAGGAGCTTGGAGAACAACTGGAGACTTCGGTTCAGATTTCTGAGCCCAAGGGCTCTGCTGCTGGACAGCGTGCTGAAGAGAGACAGCCGGCAGACACCCAAGAATTGACTCTGAGTGGTCTCATTCGTTATTGAGAATTACGTCAGATTTGGTTTTGTTGACCGAATGAGAATTCTTCATTTTCACTTTGTACTTTTCCTTAGTGTATACAACATTGTTTGTCAGTGAGCTAATGTTGACACCGGTCGGTTTTCTTGTTGCACCTTTAAAAATAAAGTTCTAAAGTTTTTCTTAAAGCAAAGTGTAATTAATATTTGGAGATGAGAATAACAGTTCTGCCAGAAACTCTAGAAGGTAGGGCCCTAAAATATTTTGAATAGCTTTACAGAGATACGCAGGACATACAGTAAGCCGCAAACATCTTAAGCAGATAGTGTGATAAGTGTTGACAGATACGTACACCGAATAAAACGAGTACTGCAGTTGAGATGCTGTACTTACCCACCATCTCCAAGTGTCCTCCTGCCCCTTCGTCACCCCTCTCCCACCCGCGCCTCTGCATGCCACCCACCCCCATTCCCCAGGCAATCCTCCATCTGCTCTGTCACTGTACGTTAGGTTGCATTTCCTAGAATTTAATATAAATTGAATCGTATAATATGTACTCTTCTTTGTCAGGCTTATTTCATTCAGTATAATTATTTTGAGATACGTTGATGTAGCCTGTATCGAGGTTTGGCGGTGTTTTTTTTTTTTCCATATCTGAGTAGTAGTTCATTAAATGGACATTTGGGTTGTTTCCAGCTTTCAGCTGTTCCAAATAAAGCTGTTATGAACATTTGTGTGCAAGTCTTTGTGTGGACATATGCTCTTATTTCTCTTAGGTAAATATCTAGGAGTGGAATGACAGAGCCGTATGGTAGGTGTATGTTTAACAGTTGAAGAAACCACCAAACTGTTTTCCAAAGTGGCTGTACCATTTAACACGCCCACCAGCAGCCTGTGAGAGCTCTGCTGCTTTCTCATTCTTGTCATCACTTGGTGTGGTCCATTTTTAACATTTTTACCATTTTAATAGGTGTGAAGTGGTATCTCCTGCCTTTTTTTTTTTTTTTTTTGGTCCCCCTGCCTCTCCTCCTCATTCCCCAGCCATTCCTCTATCAAGTGTTTCTTTGATCAAAATGTGTCATCTCGGATCATCTGAAAATTAAATTGCAAATTATGTCAATAAAAATATCTGCAGAATTTGGAGTTGAAAAATAATACAGAAATAATAAACAAATATTTTGCTGTACGCGGGCCTCTCACTGTTGTGGCCTCTCCCGCTGCGGAGCACAGGCTCCGGACGCGCAGGCCCAGCGGCCATAGCTCACGGGCCCAGCCGCTCCGCAGCACGTGGGATCTTCCCGGACCGCGGCACGAACCCGTGTCCCCTGCATCGGCAGGCGGACTCTCAACCACTGCGCCACCAGGGAAGCCCATATCTCCTGCTTTTATTTTGCACTTTTAAGACTTCTTATGTTGAACGTCTTTTCACACGTGTATTTGTCATCCACATATCTTTGGTGAAGTGTCTGTTTAGATCTCTTGTCAATTTTTTTAAGTTGGGTTGCTTTTCTTATTTTTGAGTTTGGAGGGTTCTTTATAAATTCTAGATACAAATCCCCAGAGGAGTCATCCTTGCATGCCTGATTATCTTTGATTGGATAAACATTGTGAATTTTACCTCGTTGGGTACTGGATACGTGTTCTTATAAATATTCTTTAGGTTTGTTTTGGGATGCAGTTAAGTTACTTGGAAATAGTTTGATCCTTGTGGGTCTTGCTTTTGTAATTTGTTAGGCAGGTCTGGAACAGTGCTCCGTCTAGGACACACTATTTCCCCGTCCTAAGGAACGATTTTCCCATGCCCCAGGGATTATGAGTGTTCCAGTCCGGCTGATGGAAATAGACACCTGTGTGAGTGCTGAGCACTGGTCCCTCTAATCCTTTCATGTGGTTCTTGCCTGGCCTCATTTATAGGCTCTCCTCTGAGTCCTCGACCCTCTCCAGGTATCTGGGGTTCTCTGCAGCTCTCCCCTCTCCCGTACTCTGTCTTGCAGACTCAGGCTGCCTTGGACTCCCCAAGCCCCCAGCTCTGTCTCCTGAACTCCGGAGTCCATTGGGTTCTACCTGGGTTGCCCCTCCCTGTGCAGCCTAGACATTCTTCCAGGGCAGTAGGCGAGGCCCTCGTACTGCTCCTGGGGTTTGTTTTCCATCCCTTGGGATCACTGTCTTTCATTGCCTGATGTCCAGTGTCTTGAAAACCGTGGTTTCATGTATTATTTCTGTTTTTCTTGTTTGGTTATGTCAGGAGGGAAAATTCATCTGGTCCGTGTTACTCCATCTTGATTGGAAACGTAAGCCTCCATTAATAATTTAAATGTGAATTTTCCTACTTGAGTGTAAGCTCCTAGGAAGTGATGTCGGTGTCGTGTCTTGTTACCACTGAATCATCAGTGCCCATATTCTCAGAGCTCCATAAATATTTGCTGAATGAATGAACAAATGAAATAAACCAATTTGCTTTAGGGAGGAAATGAAATGAAATCTGATATGTATTAATCCCAGTAGCATTTTTATTTCAGGAAAGGGTATGATCCCTTTTACTCTGGGTCTGTATAGGTTGCAAGTATTTGTATTTCCACTATAAATTCCAGTTTGTATTAACAGGATAGTTGGGGTGACTGTGCTATTTGACACACATGTTAACTCCTGAACACCATAACAGCTTTTTTAGAATGTGTTCAAGACTTTTCTCAGGCTCCCCAGAGACCTTCAGAATCCCTGTGACCATTGAAAATGCATTTCCCCTCAGTAGCACATGACCTGAGGCCAGTTTGAAAATGCGTTATCTGTTATTCCCCTCATTTACTTCCACTGACGTCAAGTTGAGCAAACCCACTCTTGTCTAAAAGTTTAAAGCCATGGAAATTTCTCCTTCCATCACCTTCTGTCCTTACTTAGGAATCTAAACAGGATCTACTTCGGTGAGAATTGTCTTGGGTAGAAAAATCTGTTACTCTCTTCCTCAAAGGATGGGCAAACATGATCCTTCCCGGACATCCTCAAAGCAGAGGAACTCGCTGAACGACTCTCATGAGTTTTAAAAACAATGTGAGCGAGCGCCTTAATTTTACATTCCATGTCTGCCGTGTTACTTTTACCCTTTCTTTGTTCTCAGAGGGTTAAAGCTTTGTGATATCGCATTACCCTGTCTTTGTTTAAGATGAGTTAAGAACACTATACCATGTCTGTAACCCAAAACACATCCAAGGGTGCTGCCTTGAATTTTTTTTTTAACTAGATGACCTGCCAGGCAACTCGAGGGATTTCCTATAACCATATGCATTTCCCAAGAACCCTGGGTGATGGAAGAAAAAATAAAAAGTTAGGGAAAGCACAGAGAGGAGACCTCAGCAGCTGCCTAGCTGCAGCTCAGTGGCAAGAACCAGGGCCTCAGGGCTGAGGAGACAAGGCGTTGAGTCCCAGAGCCATAGTTCGGAGGTACGCCAACCTCTGAGCCTCTCCCTTCCTCTTGGAGATGGGAATACAACGACTTTTTTTGCTTATCTTACAGGATGATGAGACTGCATGTTCAAAACACTTTATCAACTGGAAAGTATTAAACCAGCATCAGAGTTTATTATTATTGTCACACTCCCCAGTGCTGCACAGGGCTCTTTTCAGCTACCTGACAACAGGTTTCCGGGGGAGCCAGCCCTTGGAAAATGAGAGCCCTGTCAATCGCTTCTGAGGCGTGCTTGTGGTTAAAGTCTACACAGTTCAGCAGATTAGACAGAAATATCAGTTACATCAGTGAATCACAGCACTGCCTCATCTTCTGGGCGGGCATTATCATTGACCTGTTTTCTATGTTCTGTCTCTTCTCCCATTATCCTTGAAGAATGACACAGGGCCTCACCGTGGACATCAGTTTTAGGTGCCAGGGACTACACTGATACCATCTTTCACTGGCACGGGATTAATTTACAAATGACACAGGGCTACTCCCTACCACATTCTAAATTGGTTGAACAGCTGGGGGGTGGTTTTCACACCTGCTAGTGAAAAATCCATTTGGGTTGCATGGATCAAATTCTATTACCAAGAATTGGGCATATGAGAGAAAGGATCAAGTTTTCTCAGCCATAAGACTTTATAAAATTCTTCTAAATCAAAGGGAACTCCTGGATATCTATTTTGTTATAAGGAGATTTTTATTTTCTATCTTGTAACTAGAAATTGACCCACATAGTCAATGGTGACAAAAGATACATCTAAAAGAAATGGAAATGAATGAAAGACAATATAGGAAGGAAACTCTAGGCAGCTTTAGAGTTGCCGCTGTATTAAAAATATACCAACTCTTCAGAATATATTAATTATAAAATCTTGGAAGATGTAGACATCCTCTTGTATAAAATGATCTGTCATGTAATGTCATCGCATGTCTGGTAGATTGAAGTTAAAGCTTCATAAACACAAATCTCTGTGACTGTTTGGTCAGGTGTCTCCATGAAAGCAAATCAGAGATTGCAAATCTTCCCTTAACATCATTCTATCTAAATCCCCGATGGAGTTTTTGTTCGTGATGGGCTGCTCCCTTTCCCGCCCATTTTCTAAGTGTGTTATGTATAGTTTCAATCTATAGCAAATGAAGGAAACATTGATTAGACTTGATTTAAGGCAGCAAGTGATAAATGCAGCTGGAAATTGATTCATGCCTCTCCAGTGACTGGGGCTCAGCCATCCACAGTTGACACAACTCTTGTCTCAAGGCTGGAGAAAACAAACAGGGAAACACATGTCAAACAGATAAATGACTCGGCTGTTTTGAACTCTCTGCAGAGGCCATTTGTTTCCCAGATAAGGAAGACTGCTCTCCAAAGTCATGAAAAGATAAGCTGGAGGAAAAGGATGAATGTGGGAGCAGATGCCTTAGCACTTGGAAAAAAAACAAACAGAAAGGATGTACCTCCCAGAAGAATCTTGCTACGTGAATCCGCTTTCCTTTCCCCCCAGAAAATGCTGGAAACAGCGATTTGGCCACGCGAGCCTCGGTCCTA